TCTTTAATGTGCTGCATATGTTGACAACCAGTATGTTCAAGCACTGTCAGTTCTGTCTGACAAGTGGTTGATAAGAAATTTAACATGACTTTGTTTCCTCGTAGTTAATTATACATTTCAGCTCCTGCTGCTGTTGCAGGTAGGGCTTGGGGGAGCCTATCTGGGTGAGATTGCTGCTAGTGCTGCTGAGAACATTATCAGATGAGAAATCAGGGGTGGGAGGGTTGAAGGAGGGAAAGAGCAGAAATTAAAATCCCCACTGATGCCCTATGTGTTCCTGCCTGGTACCTGCAGGAAAAGATGCTACAGCTAATATTTTTTGTTTGTTTGTTTAAAAGCCTATGAAATCTATTAAGGATTCTTGTTTTCAGTTAATTGTGATAGAGGATTTTACGTAGGCAATATAGAGAATTACAACCTAGGCTGTACATTTTTACTCTATTTTGATTTCCTCCACCATTAATTTTTATGGAAACTGGAGTCATGAAGAGTCTCTGAAGACACTTCATTGTTTAGTTTGTGATTAACTCTTTCAGCAGGGCAGTCAAAGGAAAGCAAAGCAGTTTACTGTTCTGTTAAAGCACCTGTAATTAAAGTGTCTGTCAATTTGTATGCTCATTTAACAACCTGGCTGTGTTAGCTTTCTGGGATACAGAGAGCTGCTATGAGGCTTTCATGTTTTGTTCCAATATCGTGTGCAGGGAAAGGGAGGCTGCTTTCTGGCACGCACTGGGACGTGTAATTTGTGTTACAGAGGAGTTAAGTAATGCAAGGTTAGATCATCCTCACTCAAGGTGGTTAAATCCCCAGCCCTGCAAGAGAGCCGCAGCAGCTAAACTGAAACGATCATCTTACCAGTTTTTCCATGCTTTCAGTGCACTTGCTGAGTTGATAGCAACAGATAGAAGGGTGAAAGACCGCGTGTTGGAAATCCTCTGTTCGCAGGCTGGGTGAGCTCCTTGGAGCAGGAGCGAGCGCGGCACTCGCTGCCGGCCGACGCACGTCGCACGCGGTGCCTGGCCGCTCTCCCAGCGCCGCCTCTCCCTTCTCCCGCGCGACAGCGGAGCTGCAAACAGGCTCAGCTGCCGCTGGAGCCTGCGGGATGCGGAGCCTGCGGGAGAAAGGGACACGGCGCGGCGGAGCCTCTGCGTTCAGCCACGGTTCAGGCTGTGATAAAGTTTGAGAGGGACAGGGCTGCCTGCTTCACAGCGCTCTGGATGTCACCAGTGGCACTTTTCCATCTGGTTTTGCAGGCTAGCGAGGCATCCTGTGGAACAGCTGACCAGCTGCCGAGCTGCTTTGCGTTGGAATGTACTGTGGTAGATGGTTACCCAAAAGCAGTGGGATGATGGAATCCCATTTTTTTCTTTTTTTAATTGACCTTCCATAAAGGATGTGGAGGCCACTGCCAGGACCTATTACTGAACCAGACTAGACCTGTTCTGGTCTGCTAGTCCTGTGCCACTGCATAGGAAATGGCCACTCTCTCTTAACAAAACTAGTTTTTACATTTGTTTTCCCTTCGTGCTTTCCCACGGTCTCCTTTGATCCTCTGGCTCTTCCTTTATATGCCCATCTTTCTTAAATGTACTTATGCAGCTGGCTTCCGTGTTTTCTCATGCTAATACATTCCATATATTCCCTTCTGCTCAAGGGAAGCACTCCTGATCCACCCACACATGCAACAGTGCTCTGGGCCAAATTCTGATCGCTCCTGTGTCAGTATAAATGACACAGGATGTAATGTAAATCTGAGCAGCTTCCCGGGCTCGAGCCGTGCTGTTTCCAAGTCGTGCCTGCGTAATCCGGAGCAGAGTGTGGCCTCCTGGCCACGTGCGGGGCCAGGGAGGCCCCCTCGAGCCCACACCCACGTCACGCGACACAAATCTGCCCCTGTGAGCAGGTTCGCTCCGCTGCGCGGCGTGCTGTGAAATAGGCTTTGCTTTCGTGCGCTCTGTAAGTTGCAGGGGAGCTGTCTCTTATGCACAGAAACAGGGAACACTGCATAATATAGCATAATTGATCCTTGTATCCCAGTGTTTTATGAAAGTACATGCCAGAGCCAGCATGATGGTATCTTAGCAGCACACGAACACCCTAGATGCAGCTGAAGCTGGAGGAGGAGTGGGAGGTGTGGGACTGCATGGAGAAGACCCAGGTAGTGCTGCTGGATCCCAACATTTTTACCTGTCTTTGCCTGGGCAGTGCTCTGGGAAGATCTCCCTGCTGTCATATGAGTGAGCAGTGAATTGAAGAGAGTCCTGGGGGTACGGACTGAGCCTTCACCTTTCTCTGGCAATTGCAATTTCTGGGCTTACTTCTAATTACCATGTAGCAAACGCAGTAGAGCAGTGATGAAACTAGTAGACCCCTGTGCAGTGTATGCTAGCAAGGTATGTGATTCTTCACCACCAACCTGGAGTAATTTGCTGTACTCCAACCCCCCTTCTTCTGGGGGTGGGCGGAGTAGTATTTTTTTTTTTTAGGTATGAAATTTACAGGATCTCCAATCAAATTAAAGGTGTCCCAGGGTCAACCCGTGAAACTAAATTGCAGCCTCGAGGGAATGGAAGATCCCGAGATGTTGTGGATCAAGGACGGAGCAGTGGTGCAAAGCGTAGACCAGGTGTACATTCCAGTAGATGAAGAGCACTGGATCGGCTTCCTCAGGTACAGCAGCTGCACAGAGGGAGGAGTATCACAGAAACTCTTGCTTAGTGTTCTGCTCTCAGCTATATGCAGGGTGTATAATATAGAGAGCATATAACTGCAGTGACCTCAGCAGGGCAGGGTCTTTAGGGTCTGCAGTTCAGAGTGCTGCAAGGACATAACTGAGAGCAGAACTGAATCCATGCTCAGCTGGGCTGAGATTTTATGTGCCAGAATCTTCTTGATTTCCTGACTACAGCAATGGCAGATGCTTTGCTAACACTCTTGATGCTTGAGACGTGACTTCAAGGTGAAAGGATGTTCTTGTCTTGTTGGTGTTGTTCTGCCATGCAGCAGGAAGACTAAGGTCTGGCTTATTAGTTTTTCTCTTTTCTTACTCATTCAGTTCTCTTACTCTGCCTCTCTTGTGCTCTCTGTCTGATTAAGGAGTGAGACTCATTAATTGAAATGAGACTCCCAAGACTACATCTTCTTTCTTTCTCAGGGAGGAGTGTTTGTCACCTGAACCAATCCTGAGACTTTTTGTGAGCAACTTTACCTGTGTGTATATATATACTGCCCAAGCTATCAGACCTGCCCAGCCCAGAGGCTCAAAAGCTTAATTCTGCAGAGCTTCTCTAAGCCTTTATTTCAGCATATGCGGATGTCAGTTCTGACGGCCTGAGTTGAACAAGACCCCAGGTTCTGCTCTGGCCCTTTTTGTACAAAAGTTTGTACAAGTAAATAAGCCGCCAGCGTGGGGGCTCAGAACTGCTGACTGACTGAGAATCAGTCATTTGTGAGCTCAGGCTTCATCCCTCTTAGGCCTCTTGGATTAGCATAGCTTGGAGTCCCTGATTCCGGGAACCAAAAGGCTTCGTGCTAAAGCTGGCCTCCAAAGAACACTGATGACTTTACTAGGCACAACCTTTTCCTATCTGGTAACATTGTAGTGGAAACAGTTCATCTTGAAACTGTATCACTTACCTCCCCTTTATTCTTGCTAGTTAAATCTCTTTGTCCTTTCAAGTCTCCTAGTCTGATCTCCTTTCTCATATCTAATTTTCCTGCATCAAGAATTTTCTGCAGCACCTGGGCTGAGTTAGGGTGCTCAATCTATTTGTGCCTGTATTTTTCTCCTTTTCCTTTCTCACCATAAAAAGATCATTTCTATCACCCACTGTTTGACTTTCTCCTACGATCACTGTTTCAGAACATGTGGCTGAATGGGCAGGACAGCTGATGCCATCTGAAGGTACAGCTCTGAAATCAGGCTGTAGTAGGATCGTTTTATGCGTTTCAGCAAGTACTCTTATGTCTTCCATCCCAAGACATATCTCCTCCTTCCCCAAGACAGACCACTAGCATTAGAAAAGTGGACACCAGGTCTGCTCTGGATCCCTGCATGGCAGCAGACACATGGCTGCATATGCAAGGGGGGCAATCAGCAGATGTATTGTTAACAAAGTCCACCTGGTGCCTTTGCAGCTTTGGGACCCAAATCTGCCTTTATTCACCTGCATAGAAGGCTATCCCAGTGTTTTTAAAGGCAAGGGAGCTCTGCAGATTTACAGTGGGTGCACCGAAGAGCAGAATTTCTCCCATGAATGAGAAGGCTGCAACTTGGATACTAGTCCATTGCCATGGCTGCCTTTACTTGCTTGGCCATATCTCCTTGGAAGAGGAGTTCTTGCTGAGCAAGGGAGGACACAGAAGGGTTCGTGGGGTGAGGTCCTGTGCTGGAATAGGCCAGTGTGGCTTCTCTGAAGTCATGAATTGTGAATCATACCCAAAGAATTTTGCCATAAGAAGTACTCTTAGGAGGCTTACGCTGAGTTGGGGTGAGAGGGAGCCACTTCTGAGCCACTTATTCCAGTCTGAGGCTGTTACTAAACCTTGCAGCTCACTGAGGCAAAACTTCTTAGAGGTTTGTGATTTGGAGCTTCCTATCAGCTCAGACGCTGTACGCCAAGCTGTTATTCTTGAAGATTAACTAGAATTGCACTTCCAAATCCAGAAGATGAGCAACCCCTTCCTATCTTCAGAGGACACAAACTGTGGGTTGTCTGCCTGGATATTTCTGAGGAAGGCCTGTCTGCTCTACTAAGGATTCCCTGCAATTGCTTCCAGAGAGGAGTGTCCTTTCTCCAGTGTTTTGCTTCATGCTTTGTGCTGGCTGTTGCCCTCCTCCCCAGAGCTGACTGCATTTCAGTGGGTGTTGTCTGTGCATCTGGTTTGCCAAACACTTGGAGGGTCCTTTGGGGCAAAAAATGTGCTCTATCCACGTAAAATATCGATGTGGCTTTTGACTTTTTTCAGCTTGAAATCCGTCGAGCGAACAGATTCTGGGAAGTACTGGTGCCAGGTTGAGAACGGGGGGAAGAAGGAAGAATCACAGCAAGTGTGGCTCATAGTGGAAGGTAAGGAGGAGTAGTGCTGATTTCCTTCCAGGACTGACCCACTAATATATTCTAGATGGACGTGGTGAGAGCAGATTGCTCTGGTGACAGGCTTCATATGCACCGTTGGTGATACTGCAGGGAGCTAGCTGCAGAGCGGGAGTAAGCCAAGGAGAGCAGTTTTAAGGAGAGATGGTGTCGGTTAATTAGCTCTCTGGGTTTATTTGTGCCTACTAGGTAATAAGTAGATAATCCTTTCATGTACTGACCTTTCCTCCCAGCCCCTCAGTCCATCATTTTGGTCTGCAAATAATGCATAGAAACATGGAATAATTTAGGTTTGAAGAGACTTATGGGAATCTCCTGGTTCAAGGTCCGTCTCAAAGCAGGGTCGCAGGCTGGTTCTGTGCATCAGCTAAGCAGGTCTTTGAGGACAAAGTCCAGTTTTAGCCCTGTTCTCGGAGTTCCAGGAGAAGCACTGGGTACTTGGGAATATTCCCTGTGACACCATTTTTCCAAACAGCCTTGTCTGATGAACAATAGCTCTTGCACAGTTGCCCCGAAGATGCCCAAGGCAAAGTAGGTTGGTGACTTCTTATTTCCCTTGAGTTGTGATCCTATTAGGCTCTCAGAAGCTAGTGCAAGTAGGATGGCTTAATAGTTGGTGAGGAAGGTGACAGGAACAGCATATTTGGAGCAAGCACTGGCATTTGGGATGTAATTGGTAACATTAGTCTCCTTGCAGCTAGCAGAATCAGTACCCATAAAGGGGAGGGTGTGTGGCAAGAGCTGAGGTGGGTGAGATTTAATAGCAAAAATCTAAGCTGCTCTGAGCCACAAAAAAAAACCCCTGTAACAGCTGTCATGGGAAGAGCAATGCTCACCTGCAGTTTTTCCAAATTCCAGAGTTTGGTCTGCCTGAGATTTCAGGTGCAATTCCAGCTGGAGAACGTTATTTATGGCTTAGAATGTTCTCTGTTGAGTAGAGTTGCTATTTCTATCTCAGTTTCTGTGGTCCACTCCTGAGGTGGCTGCATTTGCATGGTGGGTGCCGGAAGAGTAATTGGTTAGCTCAGTGTGCTAAGCAATCTGAAAAACAAAGGAGCCCTTCTGGATATTACAGGAAAAAAAAAAAAAAAATCAAAGTGGCACAAAACAGCTGCAGCTAGATAAGGGGGAGTGGTGAGAATGAAGGCCAAAGATGGCAGAGGAAGCTTCAGCTGCAAAAAGCAGCTAGTCATTTTTATAAGAAAAATAAGTTTCAGAAAAAGGCAGTTAAACTTGAACTAAGCCTATAATCACGTGAAATATGAGATAATGGGAAAGATTCACACCTAACAAGTAGTGATAAGGGGGTGGCTTTTAAAAATGTGTATTAGTTGTTAGGGTAAGAAACTGCTAAGGGAGGCAAAAGCACATCCGTCCCACACTCACTGTTATCTCCACAATTGTTTCTTGCTTGGACCTCCCGTCTTTGTCTGGAAGCAACTTACCCTCTTAATAACAATTGTTACATCCTCTGACTTTGGTTGAGAGAGGACCTCTACGCTGGTCACATGGGCAGTCCTCAGGAGGTTTTGATGCCTTTCTGTAGGTACTGTTACATTTCATGCTGATTATTGGTGATTTTTTAAAGCAAGCTAAAAGGAGTTTCTATGCTACCCAGTATCTGTTGCTTGAGTTAGGTAGTCTTTTTCAGGCAGGATTTATATTGATGATTGTGTCTGTAATATAGCTGAAGTGATTGATGTGATGAAACTGTCCTCAGAACTTAAAATTGACACAGTGACTTTGAAACCAGTTCCAAGTTAGAAACTAGATTCTGGCCTTATGGAAAACATGATAGCATTTGATACCTGGCGAAGTAATCTAAGAGGCAGACTGAGTGTGACCATCTTAACGACTGAGATAACGTTTCTTCCGGAACCATCCCTTGAGAATTACACCTCTCTCATTATGTGCCCGTTTGCTGTGGCTGCTAGCCCTGTTGTAGTTACAGAGCCATAGCCCCAGCCACATGTGTGCATATGTCTCCTTGAATTAATGCGCTCCGAACACTGAGATGTATGAAAAAATTGGCTCAGTAGGGCAGATACCATCTTGAAAGAGGGGCTACACAGGCTTCTCTGTGGCTGTGTGGCTTTGCTGTGCAGCTGTGAAAGGGGTTACCTACTATACCCTCTCATAGCAGGGCCTGGGCAGCTAAATGTATCACTGCCAGTGTCACTGTTTGCCTTGGACTGGTGGCCATGCCTGAGCTGTGTGGGTCAGCAGGGCTGCCTGTGCCATGCAGGGTGATGTCCTACCTGTAGCCTTGTCTAATCTGCACAGTTGTTTCAGAAGTGGAAAACCTGCCTAACAGGTTAGCTTTCCCCTGAAGGGCTGCTCAAAGGGACAGCGGGCCTAGACCTGCCCATGGGCAGATGAGATAGTGATGTTCTCCTCAGAAAAGGAGGGCAAAGTGGGTGGAAAATGTCACAGAGTTTATGCACTTTTATTGTTTATGTATGAAGGCAATAAAAAAATACAACACGTAGGCAAAAAAGAGCAGTAAATCATAGTGATGACTACACATGTCCTGAGCGTTAACCTTTGTACAAAGAGACATCATTATTTCTTTTCTAAGCAAAAATGTGGTGACCTATTTTAGTTTGTTCATATACCTTCTGCTCCAGAGAGGCATGTGTAAAGGTGAGAGGAAGGTGCACAGAAGCTATCACTAAATGATACAGATAGTGCCTGAATGGTCAGCAGAAGACTGAAGAAATCACTTTCATTTGGGGTGTAGGGGAAGCATTAGGCATTAGGCTTCTGAATCTGTACCGAGGTGCTTACGTTAATTTCCTGCTTTCTGATGTCCTCAGGATCTGTCCCTAGCAAGGGGAGCTATTCAAGCCTGTCATCTTCGTGGCCAAGGACAGGCTGTAAATCAAATGTCCAAACTCCCAGCATCATTGGTTCCTTTGTTTCTCTGAGGTACTATATTGGTGTTTTCAAAACACTCTCTTCCCAGCTGAGAGTACCTTGCCTCTCATTCTGGTGCAGACACAATCAGCAGCTGAAACCAGTAAGTTTTGAATAGAAGAGGGCTCAGCACTGCTTTGGGCCTTCAGCCCTTCCACGGTCTGCTGCTCTGCAGAGCCAGCACCCACTGGTGCCTGGTGAATTTTGTGCTAATGCTTTGGAGCAGTGAGACCACAAGGCATTTGGCATCGCCTGTGAGAGGAACCACAGCATTTGCTGTGCTGAGTTGCACTCGACTCTTATCAGTTTAGAAATGACTCGAGGTGGTGCTGCCACAGCTGCGCTTTGCTCTGGGTGGCTCTGATGTACAGCCTGTTGTACCAAATGGGGAACCTTTCCACTGCGGTGAAGGGAAACTTATGAGAGCAGTGTCCATGAATGGCCCTCAGCTTGGTTAGAAATGATCCCTAATTCCAAGTCAGCTGCCTCCTTGGTGTTTGGAGCATGCTGGAAGGCCACTCTATTCAATTAAGCTGTGGAGAGACTGCCATAAATGATGCCTGTCTCACCAGGGGAATTCTTTCCTCCTCCATGGGTTTGTTCAACGTGGTTATAATATTCGATTTTTAATGCATGTCAAGAATTAGCTGGAGCTAGATTAGATAAGTTTTTAAAATGGTGGCAGACACTGCTAGGATTCCTGGCTGTTGTCTCTGTCTAAAACCCAGCTTCTCCAACTGAGAATTGAGCTGATACTGCCATTAGAAACTACTTTGTAGGAGAGTTTTGAAGGGGACTCATTCAAAGTGAGTTTTTTTCCAAAGGCATTTTTATCTTGCTGTTCTCTTGCTGACTTCCAGTGGTAGTGCTAGCTTGTGTCCTGAGGTGATGTAGTGAATATGTTTTTGTGGAGGTCTTGGAGGGGGTCAGACTCTGCACAGAGATAGATGGGTGTTCAGTATTGGCACTGGTATTAGCAGAAATAAGCAAGAGAAAGAAGGAACTTTGCAAGTTATTGTCACTTGTCTGTTGCTTTTCTAGGTGTGCCCTACTTTACTGTGGAGCCTGAGGATGTGTCCGTGTCCCCTAATGCCCCATTTCATATGGCCTGTGCTGCTGTTGGTCCCCCTGAGCCAGTGACAATTGTCTGGTGGATGGGAGACTCTAGAGTGGGGCTTCCAGACATCTCCCCCTCCATCCTAAATGTGTCAGGTAAGGCTACTGCTGATGCAGGAGATGGCTTGGAGAGGGAGAGGAGGAGAGAATCTTGTTCCAGGGACACCAGGTGACCCTGCAGGGTGCAAATGATCTCCAGCTTTGCACAAGGCTGGTTGATAGTGATCACCTGTGAAACCAGGTCACCCGCAGGAGCGATGGCTTCCTGGTGTGTTCCGCACTGGCCCGCGGAGCAGGCCTGGGTGGGGCTGGCACTGTGGTGGAGCTGCTCTTGGAGAGGTGACTCAGGGTTGTTTGTCTTCTCTTGCTTCACCTCTGGAGGGTGTTTTTATTTTCTTAAATGATTCTGCTGGTGAGACTTGGCTTAGGCATCTCAAAGTTTGCGCATGTAACAGATGCCACTTCTTCCTCCTGTGCACAGCTATAACACGTGCTGCTTTTCCCTCTTTCCTCTCTCTTCCCCTGGCCTTGTTCTTCTTATTAAACCAGACTGCCTTGTGTGATTGCTTGACAGCTCTAGGGTGGTTGTATTGATGCTGAAGTGGGCTGGTTGAACCAGAGTTTGCTCCAGAGTGGGCATTGGGTGCGCAGTGGTAAGAATGTCTTCTGTGACAGCATCTGTTGAAGATCTTGGGGGCCTCTCTTCAAGGCTGCCCTTGGAGAAGGGAGATGTAGGATCTACCACGACCTGATTGCCTATATTCTTGTAGCTACCTCAGTTCAGTTAGCTTCAGTTACCTAAAGGTAACTGAATTCTAGTTTGTTGTCCAGCAGCTACATGATGCTGCTTCTCTCTGCTACTGAGTTATTATTCTTAGCAGCCCTAAGCCAAAGTTGAACTAGCAATTTAGAAAGAAAAGGTTTTATGACTCAGATTCATCTCTGGGGCCTCATCTTCTAAGTGTTAATACACTTAGACCCAGGGAGAGTTTGCGTCTGTACATCTTTGGTCATCCCTTGAGCCATCCGATCCCATTAAGCCTTCCCTTAGAACCTAATTTATATGTAAATCAAAAATTGGTTTGTGATTTGCAATGGTTTTATCTGCTCCCTCTCTTGTGTTGCTGTTCTACTCAGTTCCAAGTTGGAAATGAGAATTGCTCCCTTATGATACAATCTGCCGGTTAAAATGGAAGCGGGATTGATAATCAAAAGGGGAAAGACAAAGAAGTCTCCCTTCCTCCACTGAACTCATCCCATGGTGCCTCATAGAACTGTTACGTGGGGCAGTGATCTGGGGACCTCCCAAAGACTCTTACAGGAAGTTGCTGTTATATATATTTTTCATCAGCACCTTGCATTGCCACTCCAGGCACACAGGAGGCCTTGCTCATTAAGGATAACATTGTCCTAGGGATAACATGTTCTGGAACGTGTCTAGCTATTTGTCAGTGCAGGGAAATCCAAGCCTCTTTTGCACACAACCTCAGCAGGTAGTAAGTTAGGGCTGATGAATCTGAGATACCTAACCTCAGAACAGGGGACACCTGTAAGGTGCTAGGGTGCTAGTATTTTGCTTTAAAGAAGAGGAAGATTACAAAGTTAATCTTCTTGACTTGAAACTCCATTATGAAATGCCTAGAAAAAATTCTCTGTAGTGTTCTTGAAGATTTTGGGTGGTGAGCCTTTGCAACATAGAACATGTAGTGGGGCAAAAGCTGTGGTCAGATTGCCAAAGCATGTGTTTAAAAAAAAAAAAAAAGCCTATTGCTAAGAAAATAAGTATTACTGGCAAAAGAAATCATCAATTTTTGAAGAAAATAAAGTACTGACCAGTTGGCAAATGTTTGAAAGGTTTAGCAGGCAGTTGCTTTGGTAAAAGGATTGCTGCATACTGAAACTGGCGGTGACAAATGGTGCCAGAGAGCAAGGGGATCTTAGCCTGTACTGTGTTTTGCATCTTCTTCTGTGCAGTTGTGCTTGGTTCAGTCTTTGGGGGGCACCTGGTGTGGTAGGTGCTCCCCACTGCACTGCCCTGCCTGCGGCTGCTGCCCTGTCGCTCCCCCGGTTCGCCGGGACGGTGCTTTGCTCTTGCTTGACAACCGACACTCTCCTCTTCCCTACGCCTTTCTCGCAGTGCTGTCAGCCTAACACCCATGAAAGATGAATCAAACGGCAAAGACAGACACTCCGCAGGCTCCTCCACTTGGAGGAAGTTTGCCCTCTTCAACTGCATGTGTAGAGAACGTGCACAGAGAGCATGCAGTTAGAGGTCTATAAAGCAACCGAGGACAAGGTAGAGTGAAGACAGATGCTGGACACGCTTCTTCAGATAGCTCTGCAAATGTCTCTATTCTGATTAATTACCAATACCAATTTGCACCTTGGAGCAGCCACACATAGGTATGATGCTGTGGTCAGGCTCTGTGAGATGGCAGATGCTTGCTGGAGACAGGAAGCATGGCCTTCCTTGTGTTGTTTAGTCCCTGGAAGGTGTCTCCGTGCTGATGCAGCAGCATTTTATTTTTACTTCCCTTTTGCATTTGCAGAAGTCAGGGCAAGGGCCATGAACCCAAGGGGGCATGACCTTAAACTGTGCAGTCCCTACTTGGAAGCTCCAGGGCACATAGCCCAGTTAGAAGATGCTTGTTGCTCAGGTAGTGGTGGTGCTCAGATGCCAAAGCACCTGATGTCTGGGATGGATCAAATCCATTTACTTATACAGGAACTGTGTACATATGTGGAGCAGGACAATCCTTGCGCTGAGGGAGCCCACCAAAATGGGATGCAGTGACAACCAGAAAACAAGGTGGAGACTGAGTAGTCATGCAGGAATGAGAAATGGACATCCAGTAACCATGCACTGTGATCTGCTCTTCTGCCAGATTCATCCTTCTTTTTTAGCGCTTTCTGACACTCCAGTGGAAGCTCTTCTATACCAGCACATTCTCTCAATTATTAACTGCATTCAAATCCACATGCCTTTGATTAGCACCCTCCTCTGCTCTCCAACTGCCGGTATGGCATGAGCCGGGTGTCGTACATAATTGCAATTCTGCTGAAGGATTGAAGCTGGATTACATAGCTGTTTGTGTTTCCTTTTTCTTGGCTAATCTTCAGGTATTAATCAAAGCACAGTTTTCTCCTGCGAAGCTCACAACGTAAAGGGATTATCTTCGTCTCGGACAGCCACTGTTCAGATTAAAGGTGAGGGGGCACAAGGGCACGGGTGGAGGGGTTTGCCCTGGTGAGGGGGGAGAGGAAGGCTCCTTAATGCAAGGGCTACCTCGGAGCTGCCTGCAAATAGCGCCGATCCAACCAAAACAGTGCGTTGCGCGTTCCCTGCTCCCTGCTTGCTCCGCAGGGCCGGATCTGTGCTGTGAAACTGGCTGTTGAAGATAAACCACATCTCATCTGTGAATGGCAACATGGTGTCAAATAGCAGATTTTCCTCAAAAAGGAGAGAGTCAGAGCAGTAAAATTGTTCTTGAGACATGTAGCTGGATATGATTGGAACGGTAGCTGGGGAAATCTTTCCTTCTTGAAGATAGATGAGTCTTGCTAGAGCTGAGTAGGCCATTGCATCTGCTTGCTTCTAATGGCATCATATTAGAGGCTGAAAACAGATGGGGAAGTTGATTGGCAGCATCCAGTAAAATCCACATCCACACTGTTTTTATGGATTATTTTTTTGTTGTTGTTCTTTGCCTTTTAGAAACTCATGGCAAACAAATAGTTTTTAGCCCTTGTGTGAGGAGCTGCCACTCTGAGACAATGTTGTATTTTGTCGGCTTGGCTGCGTTGCTGAAGCAGTGGGATAATCAGAACAGCCAGTGCTTCCCCTTCTCCTCACGTTGGGATGCTTCTGCATTTGAATTCTTAGTCATGCTATAATTTGTATTACATGATATGATTAGCAGCTCTAAGAGAGACATGTCACCGAAATTGTTTGTTCCGAGCAGTAGCTTATTGCTCAGCCTAAAAAAAAAAAGAGGGAGCATTTATGTCTGTGCTGGAACGTACATTTGCATTAGCTAATATGCATTAGAATACAGCTTAAAATCTAGGTGTAGACCAACTATTTCTAGGATGTATTTTTCCTCAGGACAAATATTGTGTTTATTGCCATGCCAAGAATGTAATATGTTGGATTAGTATGATTTATAACTTAATTTAAAAACACTTAAAGTTTCTGCCTTAAAGGTTTGTCTACACAGGGAAATTGGTTATCATGGAATATATCATGGCAATGTGGGTATTTTTGAGATAAAGTTCAATTCATAAAGCTATTATGCTTTAAATTTTCAATAATAACATTTAGCATAAACAAGATTTACTTTTTAATGTTACCCTAGATTTTTGTAACCATTAATAAGATAATGGGACAAAGGCCTCAGAGTTCTTATATTTCAAAGGAATTACATTTAGCCAAACAATGCTCCAGATGCTTCAAGGTCAATCATAGCTAAGGAATCCATACAATCCACTTGAGACATGTTGTCCCTCTGCAGAAGAGAGTAGGGCTAAGTGATTTGCCAAATGTCACATCTGTAGCTGACATCTGAAGATAAAAAAGCAAACAAAAAAAGCCCCAAACAGGCAAGTTTTAGATAGGCAGTCCTGTGCTATAGCTCTGTAGGTTGTGACTGTAATATCTCAAAGATGCGTTTAAAACAATAGATGCAAACTTAGAGAAGTGAGGAGGTGCTCTTAAACAGCAGCTGGGAGAGCCAGTAAAACTCCTGTTAAAATTAAAGCCAAGTTCTCGGTGAGGGCATCTCTGGCAACAGGAGCTGGCCCAGATAATGCTCTCATAGTTCTCGATCCTATAAACATATGGGGACTGAAGTGGAGTTCTCGTAGGAGTATCTGTGTGTACATGCGTGATCAGGGTTGCCTTCTCTTGCACAGATTCATGTGCTAATGAGGACTCTCAAGTTTTTCTACTATTTATTAAACAGCTTGTTTCTTCTGTGTTTCCAGAGGCAAAATATTTTTGCTAGGACACTTTTAAGCTGTTAACATTTCTTCACATTTGCTGCTGTTGTGGTTCATTATCTATTCTCTGTAGTGCCCACAATGTGCTGGGTGTTCTCCAAGCAGAAAATTACAGTTATTGTAGCCCACAGTGCCCAGTCGCGCACAAAGCCCCGTTGTTCCCGGCACTCTACAAACACGCAGGAAGTTAACTCGAATTATCCTAACACTCAAGCTGCTGTTTTGGGGCTGGCTTTGCCTCCCTTCTCTGTGTGCCTAAGGCACTTACGGTCATATCCCGTGTTTCACAGCACTGTGGAAAACACGGAGAATGTTTTTCTAGCAGTCAGTGGGGAAATGTGTCTGTCCAGTCTAAGTATAGCAGAATTGTGGGAAGGTGATAACAAAATAATCCTCTTTAGGGACCATGTATGCTACAGGGTCGATTTGATAGATTGTTTGTTCTTGTGGGCTTTATAGCTGATACCTTCTTTGGGCTTGTCATCCAGTGTTGAAGAAAACCTGTCACTAAACTCAGAATCTGTGAGTATATTTGTGCAATGCTTACATTAGGAGCAATGTTTCAATGATATTCAAGTTAGCATAGCTGTGAAAGTAAGCTTAAAAACTTTTATTTTGCTCTCCAAAGAAAGATCTTTGTATCTTAAGGCTTAAATACCTGAGATCAAAATGGAAAGAAAGAGAGGAGGAGGAAGAAAAAAGTATGTATTAATTTACAGAGACCTTTCACTGAAAGGCAGAGAATTTATTGTACTTCTCTTATCCTGGATGAGTGGTCTGGCCCCCTTCCCTTCCCTGTTGGCATGCACACACATGTGTGCACACTAAAAACAAGCAAAAGGTCAGGGAGAGCTTGGTGTTCATGAAACTGTTTTTTTTTTTTCTTTTTTCCAAGAGTGAGGTGGACTAGATGCAAATAGAGATTCAGGAATGAGAAGGGGATGGTGGGAAGACAAGTGCAGCAGGAAAAAGAGCAGAGGGAAGCACTGTGGAATTCTAATAGTGAGTTGAGGAGAGCAGATGAACGGGACAATATCCTAACCAGCCCTGCAGAGATGGAGGTACCTGGTCAGAGTGGGAGTGGAGGAGCGGCGCTCAATGCATTGAAAGTGCAGGCATCTGATTAAATGGCCAGTCTGGGAATATTGATTTTGTTCCCGATTCTGCCATTAATGTGTAGTATGATAACAGTTATGTAATTTGTACTCCCTTTGCCTTAAGTTCCCCCTCTATAAAATCAAAAGTGCTTTCTGAATTAATCTTCAGCCTGGAGAAAACAGAATTTTTAATTCAGGCTGTGTCCCCAAATGTCCCAGAGTGTTTATAATGGACACCTGGAGGCAGCAGTTTCACAATCCAAAGTGGTCAGCTGTGAATCCAATTGGAAGGTATTCTGGTTGCTACAGTAAACAGCCCTTCAATTTGTGCTGGCAGAGCTGTTTTAGGGGCTGGACCCAGAGCCAGGGGAGGAATTTTGAAGCCCTAATTTAGTTCACAATTTAGGTCCACAGACAGTGATGTCTGCAAGGCTGAGTCATGCATTGCAAGGGAGAGGGCAGGGAGGAGAGCTGAGGGCTGGAGGTGTAAACATCACACGTCAACACTGCTATCAGAGATCAACTGTATGTAACAGGCAAGTGTGCTCCTCTCCTAAAGAACGGCTGCAAATAGATTGTTCAATGTTATGATAATAGTTGCATTCACAAGACTCCCCGGACACTCTCTAAAGACATTATATTGCACCAGTTCTGTCACAGTTTCTAGCCTCAAGCCTCTGACCATTTCCATGTGAATACCTGCTGTGTGAGCTGAAAAGCTTCTTTGTTTCCCTTCCAGCAATGCCTCTTCCGCCTCTCAATGTGACCGTGAGCCAGGTCAGCAGCAGCAATGCCAGCGTGGTGTGGGTGCCGGGCTTTGATGGGCGCTCGCCCCTCCGCTCCTGCACTCTCCAGGTATGGGCCCTCTGGGCAGAGTGGGGCTCCCTGGCCACCTCGCTGCTTGAGCTGCCTCTCTCTCTTAACCACTTAGTAGCAGTGGTCACACGTGGAACTAGAACATGGAAACTCAACAGGATGCAACCTAGGGCATGTGCAAGTGCCAAAAAGCAGAGCCAGTTTGGAGAAGAATGAGCTGCCCCAGTAAGCGTTTGAGCCTGACTTGGGCTGATTCTCCCCCCCAGCAACTTCTTCACATCACTTGCTTTGTGGCAGCGCTCCTGTGCCAAGTGTCACCCTACAGCACTTATGAAGCATGTGTCACCCTATGGGAAGTGACTTTACAGGGCTGCAAGGTGAGCACATGGTCTGTTGGCTTGGAGCAAGTGGCCTATGGTGACTTGTTCCAGTGCAGTTCAGTGCAGTTCACCTGGGACTCTTGTACCACCCCTGCCCTGTGCTTTGCAATGTCAGAGGAAATACTGGGATCACACTGTACTAATGAGCCCAGGATAAGGATCTTGGGAGTAGAAGACATCATACAGGAAGGTGGTGGCAGGGGGAGGAGGTAGAAGGCAAGTTGGGCTCTTTGGAGACAGTAAGGTGTATTTGTGTGTTTGAAAGCCCTGCCTCTACATTTTGTTTGAATTTCACATTACCCAAGATCAGTTCTACCCACAAAATTCAAGGTGTCCTTTAGCTCCAGCTGGTGCCGAGCATCTCTGGGAAAATGTAACACTTGTTTAGGTTTCTAGAAACAATGATACGTGTCTAATTTCAGGCCAAGTTTCTTGCATTACACACTTAAGCTGTTTGATCCTATTTTACACTTAGAGTGACAAAAAGAAATGGGGATTTCTGAAGCGAGCAGAAAAAGGAGAGTCAGGCACATTCCCCATGGGTTTATCTGTCAGGTGCGAATAGGGGACCCCTTTGCTCTCCCTACCTGATTACAGCACTAATGTGAGCTGGAGTGGAATTTCTATGGGGTGTTGCCAACTATGTAGACGAGGAAGTATTATAAGCACAAAATATACTGAAAGAAGCTAAACTAATTTACTCGCTTTCCTCTTATGTGGGGAGGCAGGGAGGAACCTGAAGATTTCATGCCCTGATTGATATTTATTCTCTTTCATAAGAAAAAAGAAATTATCGTCTTGATTTAACTCTCTGGCAGAAATCAGGCCTGAATATATCTGGCTCTGGCTGCTCCTGGCTCTGATTGCTGCATTTTGTTGCTGCTTCTGTTCATTTGCTGTTCAGAATGGTTTTCTTCCCCTGTTTTACAATGCCGGGTTAGCTCCAGTTGGAACAGCCTATTCCCTCTGGCTGTTGTGCTGTGCCCCTCCGCTTCAGCCGTGCTAAGCCCTGTGTCCTGAGCTCCTCCTCTGGCGTTTTTAGAGGGCTGGGGGGAGGAAGGGAAGGATGCAAAGGAGGCTGAATGAGCAGCTCCCTTTCTGCCCACTCAGTCTCTCCCCCCGTTTTGAAGCCTCTCAGACTTTTTTATCCCATTTGGAGGGGTCGAAGTGCCTGTGTTTGGATCTGGGAGCACGTTAACTTGGCACTAATCCTCCACTGACAAAAAGTGATGTTTCCTGTAGTCTTTGGCAGCTTAAATGCCACGGTTCATCCTCACTGTTTCTCCCATGGCTCGAATCCCACAGGAGCCGCTGACCCACATTTCCATGTGAGAATGCGTCCGCCCCTGGCTCCCAGGGAGAGCGGGATTGTGCTCCTGCCAGGAGGCCATGGAAAAGCCAGGGTGGGAGCGACATTTGGCTCTGCTTCCCTGGCGCTCAGCGATGGCAGCGGTGCCCCAGCACGGGCATGTTACCACCAAGTGGGACCTTGCGGAAAGGCTCCGTGTTCACTCACCTTTCACACAAGCTGCATGCCAGGGAATAAAGGGGAAGACAGGAGGCTCCTGATGGAAATGCGTTAGTGAAGTGACGAGATTGCCTGCTAGATTCCAACTGCTTTTTTCCCTGCTTTGCATGGCAGTGATTGACAATGAGATCAACGTGTCCTTCCATTAAGAAACTTGAGATCTTCCTTTTTATTAGCCAAATAAACTGGGCCAAAAGCGTGTGAGAATGAGCAGAAGAAGAGTAGGCAGAAAGACTGCTACAGTCTTAGAGAATAGGAAGTTCCGGGAGTGTTTCGCTTCTGTGAGAATACCCTCCCTTTCCTCCCAGCTCTGTGCTCTCATGTGCACTTGAGAAGAGAGAAGGGCTGAACCTGCTGGTCCTTCGCGAGACTTTTGCTTTTGCCAGTACAAAAGAAGGTGGAACGTTGAACCTACATGTGCATTTAAAGCAGTTGTGAGATTAGATTTAACTTAGCCTTTGCGTCAGTTAAAAGTTTAGACTTTTAACTTTTAACAAGGAGTTGCAGGAGTGATAGTAAATTTTCTTTTGGTTTAATTTGAAACAGTTTGGGTGAATCAAGCTCCCCATGTCTGCTTTGTCTGTTTACCACTGCAAGGCTGTACAAATATACAAACTTTTGGAAAAGGAGTTCAGAAAAAGATGGCAATAGGCGGCAGGGAAGTTCATCTAACGGTTTTCACTGCCCAAGCTTAGGTGAGCCTCGGAAGCAAACACCCAGCATTTGGAGCAACAAGTAATTTTTTTTTTGCTATATAGATAAGGAAATACTTTAAAATATGGAACCAAACTTTCAGCTGACAGAAGTCTCACTGTACTGCCAAAATTAGAAGAGAGATGACACTTAAACAAAATAAAGGCATGGCTTGTTATTCTTGGTTAGACAAGAGAGGCAGACAAAAGGGAGACAGCTCCCTTTCCGGCATTTTCAACCCCAGCAGTGCCATATCTGTTTCTACATGTTCCTGACCTAAAAGTGAAATGATTACAGCGCTGTTATTCATATGGCTAGTGGTGACGGCCTGTTTCTCTCTATTCCTGGCCCAGGTGGCAGAATCGCCGGAAGGCCGGGAGGTGTCCACGGAGGTAGCCCCGGTGCCCCCCTTTGCCTCCAGCGTGCAAGGCCTGAAGCACTCGACCAACTACAGCGTCCGTGTGCGCTGCAGCAACGAGATGGGCAGCTCCCCTTTCACGGAGCGCGTCTACTTCCAGACTCTGGAGCTCGGTAAGCACACAGCAGGCGAGCAGGAAGGCAGCTCTAAAGCTGGGTCAAAAGCATCATGGTTTTTAATTCCTGAGGTATCTCAACAGACATCTGGGAATTGTCCCAAGAATGAATCAAACCTGTTTTGCTCTGTTTTCTGCCTTAACCTTTAGTAAAATAAAAAAATAACTTGCAGTTAGTTAAATGTAGTAAACAGCATGATGTGCAAGACAGAAGTTGTTCCAGCCACAGGGCTTGTGTGCACTGTGCATATGTCCCATTGGGTCACTGAGGTCCTTGGAGTCTGGGAATGACATAACGGTGAAAAAGGAGGTGTTGGTTTAATCTTCTCCACTTGAATCAAAAAATGGTGATCAGTGACTTGCTGTTGTTTTCTCCTCTCATACTCTCTCCTCTGGCTGATCTCAGGAGAGAAAGTCGAGTTGTCTTTTCGGTGATTTTCAGTGTTGACAGTACCTTGCTTTGCTGCACTGAGGGATTATGTTTTGTCCTTTGTCTTCAGCTCCAAGCAGCACTCCACAAAATATCCATATTATCCAAATGGAGCCTGGTCTGATTTTGGAGTGGGAAGATGTGGCTCCAGACATGCTGACAGAAAATGTCCTGGGATACAGGCTGGAGTGGATTCAGGATAATGTAACTCAGGTAACAGATTCTGAGGGGAGTTGAGCCACTAAATGCAGTTGAGAATGTAAAGGTTAAATGTTAGGTATTAGGTCCCTTAGCACCCACAGAGGCCTAGGTGAGGTTCCTGACATTGCTTTCCTGTAAATGTGGCTTCTGATGCTTGGACTCGATTCCATATTCCTCATCCATGTCAAATCTTTTCCTTCAATGTTTGTCTGCAGACAGGTCAGTTCCCAGCTGCTCCTATACAAGGACAGCAGAGGGAGAATTCAGCTCGTTCTATCTCTTTCAAGTTCTGTCCCAAGAGCCGCAGACAGAGTGGCAGGATCTCTGCTACCTTTTTCCTTTGACTTGAGCTTATGTTTTCAAATCCTAGCAGCACAGGTGTTTTTAACAAGTGTATGAGTTATACTATAAATGACCATAAAATGTTGTGGATTCCTTGATTTCATTTACACTATGGAAGGAGCTTAAAGGGACTCTGTCAGGGAAGAAGGCCTTTCATTTGATCATCGATACTGACCTTTCACAAGTATCTGCCTTTGAAGTTCACAGCATAAGTTCTTATGGTTTCTCCCTTCTTAGATTTCACTAGTGTTTATTAATGATGAAGTAGCCTGTAATAACAGATAGCTAGAGGGAAAGGGACTTCCTTTCTTACACGACTCGTTTCATACTAGGTCAGCCTCACTGAGTCAACTTCTATTGTAAATTTCTATTGAATGAAAGTGCAGCAGTGACAACCAAATCTTCATGTGTTTATTGGAAATGATGTGCATCTAGAAGATCCCCAGAATTATTGCAAACATGTTGGCTTTGTCCTGCTATATGAAAGCTGACTATAAATTTCAGCAGCAGTTTGGGATTTGGTCAGCAAGTTGAAACAATCTCCTCCTTCAGATTAAAAGTGTCAGATGCTTTGCAGTATGTTAGAACATTGTTGTATTTAAAACAGAAGAAGAAATGTTGTGTTTTAACAGGAGGAAAAAAAACACATTACTATAGCAACTTTGTTGGAAGGATCTCAAAGCAGGAAGGCATTAAACCTCATATTTCACTATGCCCTGAGAAACTATTAGCAATCTTAGAGGAGAGAAACCCAAGATGACAGCCCAAGTTAATGGCAAAGCTGAGGTTGAAATGCAAGAATCAAAACTCCAAACCTGTTTTTTAGCACTATGAAAGGCACAGTCCTGGTTTGTTTTAAAACTAGATTCTATACTAGATGCTTCTTAAGACAATTTATCGGTTGTTGCTGTTTGCTTTCAGGGGGAGATGATCGTGCAGGAGACAAAAGCTAATCTCACCATGTGGAATCCTCTCAAAGACCTGATCATCAGGGTGTGTGTGCTGAACTCTGCAGGTTGTGGGCCCTGGAGTGAGTTCTTCCTGCTCGAAGCCCAGGAGGTCATGGGTGAGTCTCCACTGCCTGCCCAGCACCTTGGGCAAGAAAAACAGAAGTAGGTGGGGCTGCTGTGTTTCTCTATGACTGTGTATAATCAGGTGGAGTGGAAGTTAAATAACATTTAAAAAGCTAGTTTAAGCAAAACAACAGCTATTGTTGTGTCTAATGCAAGTTCCCCTCTTTGGTTTAATTAGAGGTCATTCCTGAGCCTTATTTAAGCCATCACCATTGATACTGTTTTTGCAATGTTTTTACTAAAGTGCTGTTTTTTTAAATTAAAACAGTGTAGTTGTTTCAGTAGAAAACTGCTAATTGACTGCTAACTAACTGGTTGGGTAAGTTTGAAATAATGGTTCAGAAGCTATAATGTACAATTCGAACCATTCAGAAGGGTATGTTTTGGGGGAGAACAACAGTAGAGAGCAGTCCTGGCAGTGAAAGGGCAGTTAGGTCCAAGTGTGTAGATGCACTTGCCCCTAGGATCTCACAGGAGAGGCGAGATAGGAGTCTGTTTAAAGAGAAGAGCAGGACCATGTATGTGAAATGACTGGAAGGCAGAGAAGAAGAAAACTGAAAAAAAAAACTGAGAGGAAGTTCAGAAACAAAATACAGACCAGAGATGAGAAGACCAGTGAGGTGTAAGTCCTGAGGTTGTGCCCCCAGCCTCTGTGATGGGACAAGAGGCATTTGCTGCTCTCTGGTGCTCATCCATCTGCTGTTGCTTTCCTGCTCCCTGACATGTCCCCTGGAGAATCATGTTTACATTGATTCCTCCTGACCCTTCTGTGATTGTTCGTGCCAAGCGGGGCCTGGGCTGGCATTCCCAGGCCAGCAGAAGGTGGGGGAGAGGGGCCCAGGATGCAGCCCTAACTGCAGCTGGGTCTGATGAGTGTGCTTCCCAGAAAGGCCCTTTGGCTGCCTGATGAAGTCACCAGTGGTGGTGATGTGGGAGCTCTCAGTCACTGTGGAATCAAAATCCCCAGCTGGTTCAAAGCAGAGTAAAGTGATATAAAGATGGAGCGGACTCTACTAGAGAAGGTAGAGATGTTTCTCCTGCCTTTTGCATAGATGTTATCCGTGACACCCAAAATCAGAAGAAAAGTACCTGGAAGGACTAGAAAAACCCTCCGGAAAATGGTCAACACTGGCAAGAAGTTTCAGGGAATGTATAGGCCTTATGTTTGATGGCCAACTGGAATAAGGCAATCCTGAAAGCACAAAATGTTTGCTTTTATTTACAACCTACTTCAGAAAAGTAGCATCAGGAGTGACGCTTGTTTTGGCCAAACACTGACTGGAAGCACATACATTTGTTCACAAGCATAACAGCCTGGAAATAAAGGTTCACTGTGGAAAAGATGACAGGCCTTAAACGGCAGAGCTGCAGAAAGACTGCGGCTTTGTTTCAGGCCTGGTAAAAAATATAAGTTGCTTCCTTTCCTAAAATAGTAGGCTGGCACTGGTTGCTTTGTGAGAAATGCCAGGAGTGGCTTCTGACCAGCTCCCAGTGCAGCAGTAAGGATGACTAAGCCTGTATAAACTTTAAGTCTTATTTGTCATCACAGCAAGCTAGCAGGAGCTCCACCCTGCGTATGCAGAGATCTTGGGTGCTATTACAAAGATTATTTTCACATTTTCAGAAGCAAGTGCTTTCATTTCTGGGAGATCTGAATAGTCTATTTTTTTTCATCTGTAATTTTTGTGATCATATGCAGGAGAGGACCCTGAATGTTTTTTGTACACCTTGCAATAAAAGAACCACTGTAGAAATAAAAAGGGTTCTTTCATCATCAAAGTGCTCCTAAATACACTCTTTTAAGCTCATCTAATTTTGAAGTTCTGCCTTGTCTGCTTTGTGCAGTCTTAAGGTGTACATTGTTGAAGGGAGGCACAAGAGATGGGAGAAAGACAGAGCTGGGGAAGGAATCTCAGTCCTTCCTCGGGCTGCAGCCGCCCTTCCTGGTTTGGGGAAGGTGTGGGAAGCAGTGAGCTGCCAGGCAGAGGGAGAGAAGTGGGAGATTTCAGCCTTCTGCCCTGCTTCTGACGTGCCTGTTAGAAACCGTGGGCGGCATTACTTGGGCTCCTGCTTCCCAGCACTTTACGGAGAGGGAGAATTGTTTTGTTTTTCATCCATCCTCCATTTGCAGGGCACCCGCTGCCACCCCACCCCCCAAAAGTGACCTAAATCCCTGCTATCTCACCAGGCCAGCTAGCTGAGACTTGGAAAACAGTCTGAAAGAGGTTTGTCTCACCGCAGGGGGGAGGGAAGCTTATCATTAACTATCAGAGAGGACCTTTTAGAACGGTTAACTATTTGTCTCCTGATTGTCTGGCAGAAACAGTCCAAGTCAGCTGGGGAATTGCAGAGAGGATTGGAGTGATCGTATTTTGGTTGCACTCTATTTCTGATCCATCTGTGTCCTCCCTTGCAGTCTCAAAGGCCAGGTCAAAAGGCAAAATAAAAAGTGTACAGGGCCTGTAAAACCTGGGTGGGAAGAGATAAGGCTGCTGGTGAGTGGGTGCTACTGCTCTGATAGCTTTTTGCAAGAGAAGTACTATTTTGCTTCCTCGGTCAACTCCAGTGTTTATGTTCGGACTCTTATGCTTTACCTAGACTTATCTATTCCTTAAATATTTGAATGATAGGGTTTGAAAATGCAACTGGTAGTCAAGCCTTAAAAGCCCTTTGCCAGTCAGAGTTTTTTCAGCAAGACTGACTCCTTTTTGCCCAATGTATGTTTAGCATACATCAAAGTAGAAGCTTCTCCAAATATTGGTTGAAGGTGACCGAGCAAGTGCCAAGGTGAAGGAAATACTTTCGGACCTGTTACCTCCAAATTGTTTAAGAAGAAAGAATAGGTATGAGGGCTATCCTAAATTTTAATAAATCCATTCAATTGACATTTAATCTTTAGCAATTGTATTTGGAGAAGTCATGTCTCAGGGATTTGGATTAGTTTATCTATTGTTTACCAAGCATAGATAACATTTATTTCTTCAGAAACACGTTGCTGTAATATCTTGCTTCCCTGGTGGCTTATTCAGGTAGGTCCTGCAACTTGGAGAACCTACAGCCTACACCAAATTCCCCAGGGTGCCTCTCTTTGTGGAAGAGATGAGAGGGGGAAATGTAATTATTTCAAGAAACTGCTATCAGGAGCTATTGTCTTGCGAAGTGTTATCTGGGTGGAAGTTGCAGCTCCTGCACCTGGAGACTCCCATCTGCCCCAGATAGGGTGGAATGAAACCTCCCTGCGAAATGCACCATTTCTGTCCTGAGACTCCACCTGAAAGTGCTCTAGATGATGATCTCATGTAAAGCAGTATAATCTGGAGCAGCAGCTTTTTAAGGTGCTCAAAACTGAGTCTGGTTTCTCATGGCCGGATCTGCTTTGTCTTTGCCCTGTTAAACAGGGAGTTCTTTGCTGGTTGCCTGAGTAGCTGTTTGTGCCAGTGACCCACTCCTCACACCAGCTACAGCAGGATGCCTTTTCTGTTGAAAGTGAAAGAGAGACATCCCAGTAGAGTCTATTTATCATTGACAATCTGCTACTTCCTGACTGGTGTTTTCTTCTCCATCTAGGTGGCCAGAGACAACCTCCTTATGGGACATCCTGGGTTCCTGTGGCACTGGGCATTCTCACAGCTCTGGTCACAGCTGTTGCCCTGGCTCTTATTCTTCTTCGAAAGAGAAGAAAGGAAACTCGGTTTGGGTAAGGAGAGATTCTCCAAGAAGCAGTTAGAGAGTTTGTCACTTTCTCCTCCAATGTGGTTTCTGGTTCGCTATTTTTTCAGGAAATGTTTTGGATTAAGTTTCTTGTCCGTTCTTTGTATAGCTCTTCACGTATGTGGGGGTGACTCTGAATTAAAGTCTGCTAGGAAAGTGCCCTAGCTTTCCTTACAACTGACAAGACCAAAAAGCAGTAGAAGAATTGTCACCTTAATGACTGGGCTTTGTTAGAACACTAAAATAGAGCTAGCATCAATACAACTGTTTAAGTACTTAGTGCTGCTGCACGTGTAATTTAATGGAAAAAAGAAGACCTGCAAATGTATCTTGCCTTATTTTCCGTGCTCTGTGGGTTGGATTCCTTATCCCGTGCTGCTTTTCAATCCAGCAGCACTTGTAACTTGCCCAACGGCCCAGAATCTTTTGGACCCAGGGAGGGCCCCCTCTTCCCTCACCTCTGAAGCCTAGTTGTGGGTTGCTCTCTGCTGCCAGCAAGGCCCCCCTTCTTTCCAGACTCTCACTGAGCTCCTCTCGCAGTTGCTCTGTTTATGCAGCACTTGCAACCTGTACCTTCTCTCAGGTACTCCCAGAGGAGTCCTTTAATCACAGCCTTCCCCCTGAGGGATCCCACCCCATCCAGAATGTCCCAGCATGGCCCACGTCCTCATGGCCCCATGTCTTTTTTACCTTCCAGCCATGCCTTCGGCAGTGTGGTTGGGCGAGGGGATCCGGCCGTCCATTTCAGAGCTGCCAGGTCTTTCAACAGGGAGGGCCCAGAGCTCATTGAAGCGACATGTGAGTAAAATGGCTCGAGTTGTTCTGCCTGAGAAGCCAGGTTATGCGTGTACTGTGCTGTGTCTCTTGTTCTGCCTAGAACTCATATTTTAGATAAACAACATAGGATTAATTTACAGTAAGATTCAGGCACTCTGTTGCTGGGTGGTAGGGGATTCTTCTACAAGTTTTCATAGCTCGTGTGCACTAACTCCTTCTGTTATCTAGCCCTGGGAGGTGACCCGGGCTGATCTGCCCCATGGATGGAGGATCCATCTGGGATAGGCTGGATCCATCACAGCCTAGATTGACGCCATCGTGTTGCATTTGAGCTGTGGTTGACAGAGGTGAAAGGCCGGAATAGTCGTTGCCCTACCAGATGCACAGCACTGTTTGATTTGCCATTTACAGCTACTGTCATAGTATATTTTAGCATAAAGCAGGAATCTAGCACTCTCCTGTCCCAGTGTCACACTACTGGGACTCTTTAGAGATTAATGCAATGTAATAGTGAAATGAATGTGGTTTAATATTATTAACATGTGTTAATAATAAACTCAAGTGTAATATAAACTCAAGTCTGCTGAACAGTGCTGCAAGTGTGAACCAAATGATCAGTCCCGGGAGGCTGAGGATTGGTGGCTTCTCAGACTGTTGAGAGTTGCTCTTCTACCTCGTGCTCGGTGAGGGCGTGATGCTCCATAGTACTGCTGCATGGTGGGCTAGGGTGACGTTCCCGCTGACTTCGATTTCGTTCTCCTGGATTTAGAGATCTCTGCACTGATCTAGTGACTGTGCAGTCACCTGGGTACTCCTTTGACAGCTACTGTGAGACTCGTACTGTACTTAAAATAATCTGGGGGCCGGTCACTGAAAACTGGTATGGCGCCCTCAACTTAAATGAAGCTGTATGAGCCTGTGTCCGTTAGAGTTACTTTCAGCAGCCTGTATCCCAGTTGCTCATGGTGTGGTTAAGGCTGGTATTATGGCAGTATCTCCCTTGCAGTGTTGTTGGTACTGAAAAAGACATTTTCTTGTGATTGAAAGCTACTGGCTTCTTATTTGTGGTGAGACCAGAGGACATGGAGGGAGCTCTGCCTCTTTCCTGTTTTCCTATGTGCTTTAGAGGACTAGGACTGGAGATGAATATTAGGGAGAAGGACAAACAAGAAGCTTTTGATGTTATCATAGAACATTTAATTGTTCCCTATTTGACCTTTTTTTTTTTTTCTTTTTTTCTCCAGTGGAAAGTGTGGGGATCAGTGATGAGCTGAAGACAAAACTCAAAGATGTCCTGATCCAGGAACAGCAGTTCACCTTAGGAAGGATGTTAGGCAAGGGTAAGAACCAAAACCTGAACAAAACTTTACATTAAAAGTCCTTGTTCTGTTAGAGCTGCTGAGTAGGGCAAAGCATTCTCAGAAATTTTTCTTTCCTCCTGCTTGTGGATGGCGGTTGAAATGGTATTTTTCTGTCTGTCGGGATAAAACAGTTCAAAGGTTTCACATAACTAAGAGGATATTGGCTAAGCCGTACCTATAATGTGGCTCTACAGAGTCATGAGCTGTAGTTGTACGCTCAGCTTTCCAAAGTGCTGTTGCTTCGCTGGTATGTGAATTTCTTTCAGAACTTTAAACAAAGGAATTCCTTCCATTTGCACGAGCAGACATTGAAGTGGCCTGAGACAATGCAGAGACAGAGATGATCTACCACAAAAACGCCAAGCCCTCAAAATGTGCTGATAATAATTTCAGATATTCTGAACATCTGGGATGATCTTGGCTCCAGGATTTTATTTTGGGCTGATAAAAAGGCACATTTAGAACAGGCACAGAATTTTTCTGGCATTTGTCCTCATTAATTCAGGCCCTTAGGTGCTCTTCCTGAAGTAGCTGGATTTCCTGCACAGGTGCCTCTAACATTTCTCTGGGCAGAGTAAAGTTGGATTAACTTTAGCTAAAAGGTTGGTGCAGATACTCTAGAAAAATGAGGATTTGAATTTGGATTTTCCAGAGTGCGGACTAATGTACTAATTTGTTGAATCATCTTTCCCTATTTCTCAAGCTGTAGGCAGTCTCTAGGAACAAATATGAAGGCTTTTAAGCCTTCATATATCTAAGAGAAGAGCATAAGCCTTCTATATCTAAGAGAAGAACGTAAGTCATGGGTCATAAGCCAAAGGGAGCTGCAGTGCTTGGCTTCCTTGTTCACAGCAATACTTGTTTTAGTGCAGTTCTCTGGCACTGCTCCCCTGGGAACATTCTTCCGTCCAGCCCTCCCAGAACAAGAGTGTTCCTGAAAGCTTCTTCCGCAGCAGGAAGGTGACCTTCCTGCAGGAGAGGTTTCAGAGCGCTTAGCAATGCTAAGTAATTAAACAGTGTCATCTCTTGGCCAGTGTCTGGGATCCTGCTCTGGCCATTTTGGGCTGGTGCTATGGCTCGCAAGGCAATGAATGGAAACAGGCAGTAAGGACGTGTTGCAGGATGGCTGTGGAGGGAGGATGTTGGCTGGCAGGGTCTGCTCTGTGCTGTCAGGTCCCTGCTCTCAACCCTGTGATCAGGGCTCTGGTTAGAAGAGGGCACATCTATATTACCTTGGGCTCAGAATGCTTATGGTTATTGCAGAATAAGCTGCAATTTGCTGCTTATTCCATGCTGCAGCAAAAGACACTGGTGAAGATATAATGCTTTTGAGGTAGGTGTTGTGAGTGCTGTGTTTTGCTTCTTTCTCTCCAGTACCATAGTTGCCCTAATGCATTTTGAATGGAGTAAGCAGTTACAAAACTAGAATAAAACTAACACAAAGAGGGTGTTATACTGTGGCATGAGGCCATATCAGGCTAAAATAATTTGAACAGAATTTGGTGTGTTGCACTGTGCCTCGTCTCCCTTAGAGACCATAGGGGGTAAACACTTGCTCCAATGAATTATCCTACCACTCGTAGGCAGCTAAGCGTTTTGTCTGTAGTCTGGTCAGCAGTGAGTCGTGGAACTTATTCCTTGAACTTGGAGAGGTAAGGCCAGGTTGCATCTCCATGGATTGAATCCTGGCAGCAGTACTGGGCTGTCAGCTCTGACAGCTGCCAGGAGCATCAAGTGCTGAGAACTTCCTCAGCCAACATAGTCACTCACTGCTCTGTCCAGCAGACCCCTTTTGGACCAGGGCTCCACTCAACTGTATTAGTGTAGCCTTATCACAGTACAGCTTCCTCAGGAACATCTGCCTGGGATCTCAGCTCCTGCCCTACCTCTGCATCTCCAGCTGGCAGAGGATTGCTTCCCCTCCTGCTTGTTTTCCTTTGCCTTCTGGAATGCCAGCACAGCGGCCTGTCTGCTGGTTTTCCTCCCTCCTCTAGGCACTTGCTGGCTGGAGCTGCAGAATGAAAAATGGAGCTGGAAACTGCATTTCTTGTGGTTGTTTAGCTTCTTTCTCAGTGACCCCTGTAGCGAACCTGCTGTGAATCATACTTCTTCACTAGAAACCCTTCCCTCACTGCCTACTGTGATCATTTCACAGGGGAATTTGGGTCAGTTCGAGAGGCGTTGCTGAAGCTGGATGATGGCTCTTTCCAGAAAGTGGCAGTGAAGATGCTGAAAGGTAAGTGGGAGCAGGGCTACCTGAAGTACATACGAGGAAAGAGCTTGCAGAGATTAAACACTATTATTGTCCTATTCTCTAGCAGACATCCCCAAGTGTTGCTCCTTACTCTTTTCTATGCTTCCTACCCAGCTGCTTCATATTTTCTATCCCATTCCTTTCACATAATGTTTTAGTCATGTGAGCTTTTCTGGGGGAATCAATTCCAGCTTGGTTGGACTACCTACCACATGGGGAGTGTAACCAAAAGCAAGTTAAAGCCACAGCTGCTCCTGTGCACAGAGGATCTTAGTTACTTAATTCAACATAACACTACATTCCTACACTGTAGGCAGTTCAGTCAGATCTCGTTGTCACTAGTAATTCAGCAATGAGGAACCATTTTCTTTCAAGCAGATACCCTAAAATAAACAGAAGAGCGTTTGGGCTGAATGCATCTGTAAACAGACTTGTATCAATTAGGTGTAGGTGACAAAGCAGCCTAACTCCCATCTGGTTTGTCACTTGGTGAGTGTGCCTAACAAAGACAAGCAACATGCTCATTAGAGAGAAGTCTATAGCAGGAAGAAGAGTTGACAGGCAGGTGTAAGTCAAAACAAATATATGCTTGTGTACATATATATACCTACATGTATGTGTATAACAAATATGTTAACCTATGTTACTTTGCCTGTGTTGCCACAGAACCAAAACTATGGTTGACGTAAAGCAGAGTCACCTTTGCTTATGTCTACAGCTGACTCTAGCTCCCACAGAATAAACTAAATAAACTAATACCACATTATCATAAGTTGCATTATTTTCTCCAGTTTCATGGTAATTCTGATCAGTTTGCAAGTCCCTTTGCGATAGTCAAACTGCTTACCTTCAGGTATTGAACTTGGGAACTCTGTATTGCCCTCCAGAGGTATCTCCCTCTCTCCATTGACTGTAAAGAAGTGATTTTCCTTTCATATTCTGAGTCATACTCAAATTACCTGCCTAAAGCAGCTAAAGTGAATATTTGCCTGTAAGTCTGAGTCTGATTTTGCAGCAGGACTGAGGGACTCCTGCTGAATTCAGCAGCAGGAGGGGAAGTAGCCCCCTTGGGTAATTCCAGATTATATTGATATGCTTCCATAAATCTAGACTAATAGTAGTAAGAAATAATGTACTCCAGAGTTATGCTGGTTTATGTTACTGCTGAATTATCTCCAAGCTGTCCAGAACTGTCCAGAGTTAAGATTCCTTGCACATAAGAAGAATCATGCGTGCTTGGAGATGTAAAAGCTGTGCTCTTTCATGCTATCATGGGCATAGATTAATTGGGCTCTACCATGTCAGCCTGGGCTTCCAGGCCATCCACTCAGTTCTCACATTTTTTTAAATTTTGGCTTCTTTCCTCCACCATTATTATTTAGCTTCCCGCAACTAATAAATTCTTCTATCTTTAACCCACACAATTTCCATGGCTTCAAAGGGAAGTTGTTGCTGAGAAAAGAGCTTCTAACTAGCAGGTCTTTATTTATTTGTTTTCCTGCCAAGAATCACTTCACCAGATGTCTCTGGTGCATATTTACTGCTGCTGATCCCAGGGCAAAGCATCAGGCTCTGTTCTAAGCTGGCTGATCTAGCTGTAGTTCTGAAAGGATGTGCTGTGCCTCACAGAACAAACTTGTGATAATGATAATCTGTAGTGCCCCTGGGAGCCCCTGACCAAGGTTCCTGTCGCTTCTTTCCAGCGGATATCTTCACCTCCACTGACATCGAGGAGTTTCTGCGAGAGGCTGCCTGCATGAAGGAGTTTGACCACCCACATGTGACTAAACTGATCGGTGAGTGAGCAGTGCTGCTCCTTGGAGCCTAAAAGCACCTCCCGTGCTGGAGGATCCCCATGTGCTCACAGGCACTGCTGGCCAACAACCAGCAGTGCTAATGCAGTCACCCTTGGTGCTGCAGGGAGCAGCTGCTTAGCAAGCTGGAGTCCTGGTTATCAGTGTTGCTGCTGCTAGGCCTGGAGGAAGTTGGAGTGTGTGTGAGTGCTCACAGCATGTACAGGTGCTCCTCATACACCTGGGAGCAACCTCCCTCCCTGCTTAGGCTGTTTTGGGGGTTCTTGCAATTGCTATGTTAGACTATCTGAGAGGTGTCTGAACTAGTGTGAGATGTGGAGAGATGGGTGGATGAAAACTAAGGGGTCAGGAGATTTGCTTGTTTTGAAATATTGAATAAGAAGCAATGCCTCCTTGGGGGACACTGTGAAACCTGGACAATCCCCAGAACATGCAGGTTGCTGTGCTGAGCCAGTCTGGTCTGGAGTGATCCTGGAAACACTTCTAGGCAGTCCCGTAAGAAGCTGAGAGGTACCGAGCGCTTAGTGTTTGTTGTGAGCACTAAGCTGGGTTGAAGGTATCTCAATACCTCCTGGCATGAATCCGTGCAAAGGGGCTTGGAGCATGGAATCTACCATCCAAAACGGCATGATTTCCTCTAAGTTCTCAAGAGAAAAGTACAACAGTCTGAAATTCCCTGTGGGACTGATCTGTTTGCTAAAAGCCCTTTGTTCCGTGTGTTCTCATTAGGAGTCAGTCTACGAAGTCGTCCGAAGGGTCGGCTCCCGATTCCCATGGTGATCCTGCCTTTTATGAAGCATGGAGACCTTCATGCTTTTCTGCTGATGTCACGAATTGGGGAAAACCCTTTTGTAAGTCTTCCTTACTGTAGAGTTCCCTCTGGGAGGCTGTAGATGTTCAGATATGATACTCAGATCAGTTCAGGATTGGTCTCCCAAAGCTTTTGGGTATTGACCAGACTGACAGCAATGAAGTTGGGGTTGGCTTATGATGTTGAAGTGACTGAATTGAATTCTGCATGCCTTGAGAACCATTTCCTCCCTTCCATCCCCTCTCTGTATCACCTTGTATCACCCGCTCAGTGAGCTTGCAGTGAATATTGCATTTTTGAGGTGTTTTTTCAGGAGCAGAATTGAAACTGTTATTTCTTTCAGAACTTGCCTGTTCAGACACTCCTCAAGTTCATGATTGACATTGCCAGTGGGATGGAGTATCTGAGCTCCAAAAACTTCATACACAGGGACCTTGCAGCTCGGAACTGCATGTGAGTGAACTGTGGGCTTTTGGAGAAAAGAGACTGGAGTGGCTGGGAGAGACATCAGAAGCCTTTTCAGGACAGAAGTGGGGAGGGATCCTGTTCCAGGATGTCAGCCCTTGCATCTAAATGACAGTAGGCAGAGAGGAGCCATGGCCAGGCAGGGCAAGGACAGAAATTCCTAAACTTCAGCTGAGCTTCCAAATCACCCCTATTTATAGGGGACTATTCCACCACTGATTGGTGCATGTGCCCGCAGTCTCCATTGCAATACATTTCTGTAATTAGTCACTCTGGGTGTCCTCAGGGGCTATTTGGTCCATATCTAAAGGTAGCCAACAGGAGAGAGTAGATTTGGACTGTGACAGGCATAAGGAACTTTCAGAATAGCCTGGAATTCATATTTGTAATTTCTAGTGTGAATTTTGAGAACTTGATTATCCCAGTGTAAGAAATAGAGTTTCATATAGAGTTTCCCAGAAAGCAGGTGAACAATAGCTGATGGGAAGAGTGTCTCTGAAATAATTTCACGGTTAGTACATTGTATGATCCTGCACTGCTGCTCCTGTCCTCAAATTGTCTCGCCAGCTTTGAAGAGAAGATCCCTTTTTATCCTTTTTTTCCCCTCTGTGCTGCTTTCTTGAGGGTGGAGTAAGGAGTAGCCCATTATAGCAGATAGAGCTCAGCCTCAAGAAAACCACAACCACCAGTAAAATGTGGAATGAGGCGTGTTTCCAAGGGCATTTAAGTATCCAGATGTGCAGACAGGAACCTGATAGTCCTAGTGGAAAAGGAGTGGTTAGCTTGCTTTGGCACTTAAGGGAAACCCAGACTGATTTCCTGTTTTTAATTGTTTTAAAAATAGGCAGACTTTCTTTAGAGGAAGCTGTGTGCCTCTGCCATTACATGTCCTTTCGAGGAACGCAGGAGGCCCTTTGGAGAGCGAGGGCTGTGAAGTCTGCTCTCTTCAGCTGGCCAGTAAGTGCTTTTCTGAGTCACCAAAACTGTCCCGTAGGTTGGATGAGAACATGAACGTGAGCGTTGCAGACTTCGGGCTTTCTAAGAAAATCTACAGTGGAGATTACTACCGTCAGGGCTGTGCTTCCAAACTGCCAGTGAAGTGGCTTGCCTTGGAAAGCCTCGCTGATAATCTGTACACTACCCATAGTGATGTGGTAAGTTTTGCTGTAGTACATTTGGGATCTGATGGTATTCCTGCAAAAGTGAAGGAATCCTTTCTTCACCAATCCTTGAGTGGGAAAAGGCCCTGCTGATGGGAAAGGGTGTTTGCCTGGTACCTGCTGTATGAGGCCACCTCTGCCATGGTTGCTGTCAGAACTCAGGACCAAAAATATATGTGCGTTGTTTATGTATAGTGGAAGATGGGAACCTCTTTCCTCTGTTCCCCTTGTCCTTCAGTCCTTCATTTCTTGGTTCTTATTCCTAATCATCTCTTTCTGCTCTTTCGTTTTTCCACCTCCTTTTCTTCTCTTTGTGCAATCTCTTCTTACTCTTTTTCTTTTCTCTTCTCCTACACTTTGAATGTGACCTGCTCATGTACAAGCGTAGCATTCCATCCTACAGAGAGGGCATTGATGGAGCTTCTTACACTCCCAAGTATATCAGAGCTTAGATATTCCTCCCTGTAACATTTCCCTTGGGGAGAGAGAGTAAAGCCATCACCTGAAATTAGATTTTTCTCATTTCATCCTTTTATTTATTTATTTTTTCCCCCCTTCCTTCCGACACCTTCCTGTACCTTCCTGTTAGTTTTGTCCATCATTGCTTTGTACTTGCCTTATGGGTCATCCATGCCAGCCTCTCTGAGGAGACAGCCAGGAGGGCCTTGTATCTCGGCGGCAGTGTCACCCAGCAATGAGCATAGCCCCCATAGGTGGTGTTTAGTGATTGGTGAGCACAGACTCTGCACAGGGTTTTGTCTAGGAGAACCTTTATTTTTATTTTACTTGTTTAGTTCTTTTTTTTCCTCCACCTAACAAACATTGCAGTTTGTATCTGATGTGCAGGTGTCAGTTGCAGCACAGATTAAAAATGAACATGAGCCAAAGGTGATTACTTCCCTTGCTCATTGGCTAAACGTGACTGTCATTTGTGCTGCCTGCGCACTAACAGAATCTGGCTCAGAGAATTAAGCAACTGCTCTATGAGCCTTCACAGAGGCTGAATCTTCACAGAGCTGAAAATCACAAAACTGATGCTAGCTACCTACAAAAACTGTACACGGGCGATGCTTGGCAGGGCTTTGCGGGTGGGAGGCAGCGGTAACTTGGGCGCAAGCAGGGAGCTGGGTGCTCACTAGCTCTGTTTGCTCTCTCGCTCTTCAGTGGGCGTTCGGGGTGACCATGTGGGAGATCGTGACCCGTGGGCAGACCCCTTACGCTGGCATTGAGAACGCAGAAATCTACAACTACCTCATCAGCGGGAACAGGCTGAAGCAGCCACCGGAGTGCCTGGAGGATGTGTGAGTACTTCCTCTTTGCTGGCATCTGATTCCTTGAGAAGTTTGGCTTGTTGGAAGGGAACAGGAGCTGCTGGCTGGGACTCTGAGGTGAATCTGTCCACTTCCCAGTACACAGAGGTGTTCACCAGAAAGTCACTGGGTTAGCTACCAAATATTCTGTGCTGGCAGAGCTCCCTCGAACCTGTGGACGCTACATGAGCAGCTAACTTGGCTCAAGAGCATGAAGAGTATCCGCTTTAGAGGCTCTTGGCTTCATAGAAACTATAACTGCACTTCCAGAATCTCGCTGCTTCCTGTCTCTCTCAGGCCAGCATCTAAGAAAAGAGATGAGTTTCATGGCATATCCCAAAGGCTGAATGGGCAAAAACATCTATGAAACAATGAGGAAAGTAAATGGCAGAGCTGGGGCTGGCACGTGTCTTCTAGAGCTAGGTGGAAACCAAGACAACCTTTGGATATTGGTTTCAGTGGCTTTCAGACGTGCAGGAAGGTCTCGGACAGCCACCTGGGGAGCTGGTAGCCACCAGCTGCAGCCTCTGTGGCCTCTGAATAGCCAGGCCCACCCTCCTGCCAACCTGCGGCCTAAGGCCTGCGCTCTTTGCCGGTAGGTTATGTGAAAGGTCTGCTCAGGAGCCGCTGCGCCAGGGTTTGTGGCTGAAACAAGGCTGCTGGAGCACATCCGTAGGGTTGAAAGAGATGCCTGAACAGTATTGGCTGCCTTTACACTGGCTTTAGAGGCTTTTTCAAGCTATTTCTTGTTTATAAAAGGGATACATAGAAGCCACCTTTATTCCTGCTATGATGGTGGAATATTTTATGTGGTTTCCCTTTGCCAGCTTTGTTTTTCATGTGCGGGGAAAAAATCTGTATTCCTGTTATTAAAGTTTTATGCTTTTGTCTTCTCAGCAGTTCATTTTACCTATTCCTGCATTTGAATGAAAATATTGATATACCACTGCTTAAATCCCCTAAGTCTGCTCTCAGCTACTGTGAGCAGCTTTGGCTCAAAGCTGTGGAGCTTTATGGCTACAGGATGTTACAGATGACAAAAGCATAGACGAGACTCAAAACTACCAGGCATTTGAGAAAAATAGGGGGGGGGAGGGGGAAAAGCCCCCAGTCTGCGTTTCAAGAGCCCTTAAACTGCTAACGGTCGATGTGTGTGCCAGGAGCAGCTCCCTGTGCATCCCCTCCATCTTACAGGCCTTCTTCAAGCTTCTGCTCCGGCCCTGTCAAAGGCGGGATATTGGGGCAGAGGGGCTTTGGGGCTGACTCACTGCAGCCACTGCCAGTTCTGTGCCTTTCCCCTCAGCACCACTTCTGTTGTTTGCAGCTCTTTAAAGAGCTTATTTACTTTGGTCTTGTAGAGTAGGAAGTTCATATTTTAGATGGAGTATTATGAGTTATTTCTACCACTTTTGAGAGTTGTAGATCAGCATTAAGACGAGTGAAACACTAAAGGTTTCTGTAAAACTAACATGAGGTCAAACCTAGGGTCATAAAGCTGATATCAGGCAAGGGACATAAAAGTAAAACCCATCACGAAATGCCTTTTTTTTTTCCCCTGCAAAGGCCATATCAGATTTTTTTCATTTACAAGCCTAACTGAGGCTCGTTTGTCTGCAGAGCTTCTCGGTGCCAGGGCTGCGAGCTGGTGCTTTGTCCCTGTTCCCTCGGAACTGGCAACAATGAAGAACTAGGGAAGCAGCTGCCAGTTCTGCGGCTGGAGCCTGGGGAGGACAACAGGCCTGGCCGGGCTCCAGCAGGATGAGCCCGGGGGAGGCCCATGGGTGCGGGTGGCAATGGAGGAGCGGGGCTTGTAGCACCCTGCCTGGCTGCGTGCGCTGCCAAGCGGGGACGGCTCCTCACGCTGCCCCAGAACGGCAGTGATAGTGGCTTCCAGGTGGTGTTTCCCTCGGGAGGGAGGCTGCCCTCGCAGCAAGGCGGCGCATCCGCAGGCACAGGGCCCTTCGGGTGCCTCTCGTGCAGCAGCGTGTTTGCTGTCGCCTCCGCTGCGGCCCTTTGCACTTATTTGTTGTCCTTCTTCCCGGTCACGCTGGCGCTCTGTCATCCCACAACAGTGGCACTGCACCTGGAGCCCTGAGTCAACACGTTCTGAGAAGGAAGGTTCTAGAAATACCTTGCACCTCCTACACCTGGGTCTCTGCAGTGTTTGCCGTGACAGCATCACCCGCAGCAGCGGTTATCAACTGGGACTTTTCTCGTGAATAAATTCAAAAGCTATTAGTAGCTCGTGATAGAGCCACAGTGCTATTCAAGCTCTCCACAGGCAAGGGAAGAAGGCTTTTCCAAAAAGTTCAGCATCCTTTGACAGGATATTTTGAGAATGCTGCTGAAAATGAATAAGAACAAGGAATGAGATGCACAGTAACAGCCTCTGTGCTGTCTCCTGTGCCAGCTCAGAGCCGGCAAGTTTTTGGGGAAAACAACTGTGCTTTTCAATTCTCGCTGCAAAAATCTTGCACATCTCCAAGTGACTGCAATACATCAGCAATGTATGCAGTCCAGTTTTAAAAAAAAAAAGTGCTGCAAATTCCTAGCAAATATACATGCCAAAACTAGGATTTTTGCCAGCATCCATTTTCTATGCTCAACCATTCTCTGCCCTTAGGGAAGAAAGGGTAAGAGCCTGTTCACCCAAAGTGTGAGTCTCCCTGCACATAGGGATTTTGGTGGTCCTCACTTCCTGACGCCACTGAAGGCACCAGGTGCACGGGCACAGTGTCGTAGCGGCAGGATGGAGGCCTCACTCGATGCTCTTGTCTCTCTGTTGCAGCTATGATCTCATGTGCAGATGTTGGCATCCTGAGCCCAAGCTACGCCCAAGCTTCGGGGTGCTCCGTTACCAGCTGGAAATGATTCGGGGGAGGATGTCCACGCTCTCTTCCAGCCAAGATCCTCTCTACGTCAACATCGGGAGGGACAAAGAGGACGCTGCGAGCGAGCCGGCCCTGCACGCCTCCTTTGGGGACGTGCACAGCGAGGAGAGCGTGGCCGGGGCAGCAGCCGCTGTCACCAGTGACTATCGCTACATCATGAGCCCCCTGTGCCTTGGAGAGGACGCAGAGGGGGAGAGGCATCCAGACGTGGCCGAAGGGGAGGACAAAAGCCTTCTGTATGAGCTGGAGACAGAAGGGGAGAAAAGCTGCTAGTGTGTACATAACTGTGTGCCGCTGCTTCCCGGGCCGGGCTGTGCGCAGCCACGGTGCTGCCGCGGCCGAGCAGCACAGGGTGCCCGGCGGCCCCTGCGGCTGTCACTGCATGGGCTGCAGAGGCGGCGGCCGGGGGAGACCTCGGCCCTCCGGCCCCTCGGATGTGCGGGACGAGGGTGTTGGGGCTCCAGGGTGGCTCTGCTCCTCCAAGAGGAGCGGGACGCTGAGGCGGGAGGTGGGAGCCTCTGCCCTGCTCCTTCTCACCCGCCGAGGCAGAGCCGACGGCGCCAGCTCCTCTGTCAGTGCTCGCGCTTGTGTAGATGTTGTCGTCGACTCCGGCTGTGGAACCTCGGGCCTGGTACCTCTGAAATCCCAGTGGGTATTTACAGTGTCGTTCAGGACAACAGGGCGAGATCCCCCTCGTGTTCAGTCAGCAGTACTGCCTAGAAAGGCTGCCTACCTCAGTGGTTCTCAAACTGCCCTCTGCGGAGCTGCTTCTGTCCAGCAGTGATGTCAACATCTGGCATTTTTCATGCAGTGACACTTGCTTCCTCGGGCCAGGGCTCTGTTTAGAGCTTCCGATGCTTTGGGGAGCATTGAAATCAGAAACAAGGAAAATCCAGCATTCCTCTTCAAGCCTTGTACTTTTATGTATTTTTCTTAATCTTCTGTTTGATGCCAATTCAGGCCTCACCAGACTTGCAGCTGGCATTAGAAAGTGTGAAGGGAGACGGAGCAGCTGGCCGGGATGAGGACCAGATCCATCCTCAAAGGGATCATGAAGAAGCCGCATGGAGGGCACCTCCAGGAGAGGAAGCAGACAGCATGGTCGCAGAACAGCAACCTGCAGCCTTGCATCAGGTTCCGTGAGAGCAGGATTCAGCATTTGCTTAAAATAGGATGACTTTCATCTTTCCCTTCAGTTGTCCTATTACTTTTGCAGATAACCAAGTGCTGTAGCTGCTGTAGGGAAGGGGTGAAATCAGTCTGGAGAAGGTGCGTGCGCTGGGGGAAGGGGTCTCATTGGAAGAACTCTTTGGAAAGAGAGGGTCCTCGCTAAGAAAAAGCTTGAGAACCACTGGCCATCCTATTAGGGAGGCCTTCAGGCACGCTGTAAAATCCACATCAGATCATAGGCTAGTATCACTGCAGCCTTACATGCAGGGCAAAATTAGTGTTTTTGCTCTTTGGGTTTTGTTTTCCAATCAGCATGTCTGACTCACTATAACTGCAAGCGCTTGTGTGTTTTTTAATAATTTAATATTTTAATGTAAATCAGCATTTGTTTTGTGCAGTGGTTCTCGGCACTTGCAAGTAAGTGCGGCTACATCTTACTCTATCTATTTATCCTAAATACTTGCTCGATCTTAATTTGTTTCATTTCCAGAGCCCTGAAAACTCAGCGGTATCCCATGATTTAAAATACCACATGGCTCTGCTTTAGAAGCAAATACCATAAATGTCATAATTTGCTGAGTTGTCCAAGGTGGGACCAGTATGTTAAAGTAGATTGCAGACTTGGTATCAGAACTCTCCATCCTTCAATGCCCAATATTTGGTTATTGTTGGTGCGGGGGCTAACTGCAAAATTCAGGTCTGGTTTCAGCCCCTGTTGTGAACACTTCCTAGGGAAGGGAAATTTCAGCCTGGGGTTTGGGCATGGGTCCTTTCTATAATGTTTCCTCTTAAATGATGTCCTACAGACATCTGCAGACGTTCAGTACAGTTTCTCAGTCACGTATACAAACTGCACCATCTTATAGCCCAGGCAGTACAGGGTTTATCTGTTTGTGTAGCTGGGCTGCTGTGAGTGCAGGTGAGAAGATAACACCTAGCAGAGTACGACAAACCCCGTGCACATGTTTGCAGGTTTGTGCTCCCTGCAGCTGCCTGGGATGTGCAGATGTACATACAGACTAACTTTGGGAAGCATGGCATTAGTTTTTATGCATTTTTTTAATAATAAAACATGTACTGTGTCTGAGTAGCAGCTCTTTATCTGTGACAGAGTTTGTAGTGATGTTCTGGAAGGATTTTTTTCTCTTTCTGGGCTAATTACTAAAATTGGTTGGTCTCGGCGTGTGAATCTCTGCTCCTTTCTCTCTTTCTCACGCGCCATGAAGCTACTTGGGGGAGGCAGAGGACATTCCTGGCCTTGCCTGGGGGTAGGTTGTGTGGATAGCGGTCCCTGTGAGACGGAGCCACAGTTCTGGCAGGCTGCTGCTCTCCCAAACACATCCTCGTCTGAGGCAGCGATGGAAGCCTCCCCTGGCTCCCTGCTGCAGCCCCTGTACACGCATCCCCTCGCCAGCCCCGCTGCCTGCCGCGGAGGGCCTTGGAGGCAGTGCCCTGTATTCAGCGCTGAGTCAAATGTTCCAACCGAAACATAACAGAGCTCTGCAAAGAGAAGGTGAAAGGCGCCGCAGCAGCCTGCACGCCCTCTGCCTACTGCCTCCCGCAGCGAGGAAGAGCCGGGGGGAAGCGATGGGAGTGATAGGAAGCGGTGGGAGCATCGCCCCGCTCGGCACCGCGGGACAGGATGAGCGGCACTCTTGGTGCTGAGGCTGCCTCTCCTGGTCGTTACAAGGGGCCAGGCCCCACGCTCTCTCTTGGATCGTGTTCCAAGGCTGATTTAATCCTGGCACGTGCCAGCCTGGCCAGAGCAGGCACGAGTGAGGCTGCACTGTGGGCGGGAGAAGCAGCCCCCAAAGAAGAGCTAGTGAGAAAAGAGGGAGGAGGGAAGGCAGTTTTAAAATGGACACAGATGGACTGAGCTGCACAGGCAGCAAAGGAGGGAGGCGCGGAGCAGAAACAGGGTCTTTGGATGCAGAGAGAAACCCTTGTCCCAGCTTGGCCGGGATAGGACTGTGCGGCAGCGCAGGCGCCCCAGCCCTCCGTTCACCTGTGCTTGGACGGGCGTCTTGTAGCCTTTGCTTGGTAAAGAGACACCCTTAAGTCAAATGCAATTAATGTGGAATAAAAGTTTGAGTTCAGCTGAGCAAAGAAAGGAACAATATTTGCACAAACACGTTTTCCTGATTTACATTCCATTTCTTCTGGCACTCTACATTTTTCTCTGCTGCTCAGAGAGCTGCCAGCTTTTGCAAATTCACATTTTTTTTTCCTTTTTTTTTTTTACCAGGAGTTTCTCTTGAGGCTATTCGGTGATACTTCCCAGGGACCCACATACAAAGCCCTAATTTCATACTGATTTGTTATTTAATACCCATTTTATGTTGCAGTTAAAATAGAAAATTGTTCTTTGAACCCTTGGAACTAAGCCTGGTGTTTCATGGACTTGCGTCCCACTGCTGAGTGCAAGTCCTGGGTGAAGTTTTTCTCTAGTTGAGTCACTTTTAAGAGCTTTCCCTTCTATGGATTCCTTCCCTGGTACTCAGCAAGGAGTGAGCAAAGGCTGTGGCCTGTCTGCGGTGAAGGCAGCCACGTGGTGTCAACAGCGTTTTTCACACAGTGCCTATTTTTAGAAAACTTGCAGGAACTTCATTATCCTACAGGCCTCTATCAAATTGGATTGAAATTAGCCAATGGATTCAGAAGTTATTAGGGCCAGCACATGCAGGTTGAGATCAGAAGGCCTCGTTACCATAGGAAACAATTATTTGTCCATTGGTTTTTGCTGCTCTCGGGCTGAGATTTTTGGTTGCGTTTGCCCTTTCGTGTAACAGGAGCTTGGCGTCAGTGTGAATCAGCCCTCCGCGACCGCGCTGGGCTCTGGTGGCAAAGCGGGATGAGGCAGCCCCACATTACTCATTTCTCCGTGGATCCTCGAGCTTGAGCCTACCAAGGCAGCTCACTTCCCAGCCCCACAACGCTGAGGAGACCTAAAACCTTCTGGTCTTCTTAGGCCGCCGCCGCCGTGGGGAGCTGGGTGCTTTGGGGCGAGGGCCGCGCGCCGCTGGGCTGCCGGCCGCGGCTGCCGGGGCCCGGAGAGCTGCTCCCCGACTGCTGTTTCCTCCAGCTTCTGTTCGCCAGCTTAAAACAGATTGGAAAGAAACGGTTGACCTCGGGAAATGGGTTGCGCTCGTTAATTTAAGCTTTGATGAGTTCAGTAGGGATTTAATGAGGCCGGAATAGGTTCCAGAAAAGCCCTTAAAGGAACTGAGTGGTACCAGCCTGCTGTGTGAGGGAACAGGAATTCGTGACAAGGAAAGAGGCTTTGCAAGCGTAAAAAGAAATCCAGTTGGAAATATAATACATTGCATACATGCTGAGGAACACGCAGACCTGGCAAACCCTGGAAGCCGAGCGGAACCGCGGGGCGCTGGAGAGAGCTGCCCCTGCGCTCTGCAACACGACCGTCGGTGCAGGCGGCTCCGCAGGCGCCGCGTCCCCAGTTAGTGTGCAGGGCAGCGGCGCTGGCGGCCGCCCCGCCTTTGCGGCAGCCGCTCCTGCTCCTGGGATGCCCGTATTGCCTGGAGCTGGGAGCGCCTTGGTCACCCTCTGCTGCCTCTCCTTGTTCTCTTACACTTAAAGGAGCTAAAAATAACAAGGGCCCAACGGCTCCGTGGTGAAAATCAGCAGGGCTTCTCTGCCATCGAGGAGGCTCAGGTCTGCATGAGAACGTGGACACAGGCCTGGAGGTCGTGCAGGGACCCGGCCTGAGCTCGAGGATGGAGCGTCTCCCACCGTCACACAGCAGGGCTCTGACACAGGCCCTAGGCCACGGACAAGTCCTGGCCGTCACTGCGCCATACACAGTGACCTGCGTTCACTGGGCGGTTTCCATCCGTAACCATCTCCCGAGCATTTGCTCGCTCCCCTCCGCGGGCGCTTGGGCTCCTGGCGATGCCGGCCCGGCGGAGATCGGCTCAGGCGCAGGCACAAGCGGCGCTCGGCAGCGGCCGAGACCCACACGCGTTCCCGCCCGCGCCGCCGGGGCCTCCTGCCGCGCGGCGGCCGCTGCCTCCTCGCTGCGTCCTGCGCTCCGGTTCCCTGGCGCTGCTCTGCCAGGCCCTCCGGAAGCCGATGCGCTGGCTCGCACCTGAGGCAGGATTTGGCTTGAAATGTTTTCCCTGCTTTCCAGCCGTTGATGAAATCCCTCTGGGCCACCGGTTAAAACCCCCAGGGCTGTCACCCTCACTGCGGGCCAGCTTTTTCTGCAGGCACGATTAGGCAAAATCCCAGCTGAGAAGGGCTGAACCTGCTTAAACCAGGGAATTACGTGGGCTGATGTTTCTCCTTTCTCTCTCACTACACTCAGGGAAACCCTCCCTGGCTGCTCTGTGGAGAGCATCATGGAGCCCCCTGTCTTCAGGCCGTGTCCGGAGCCGCGTGGCTGGGATGCAGACGGCTCCTCCTGCCCGTGCACCGGCTGCCGGAGTTCCCGCGTCGCGCCGTGTCATTCCAGCACGGTGCTGAGCAGCAGCGGCTCCGCGCCCGCCGAGCGGGTGATGCCATCGCCGTGAGCCTGGCGTGTCCTGCTCTGCAGCCTGCCTGCCCCGAGACCCATTTTCACAGGCATCAGGAGTCCGTGACTGTAGAATCTGCTCTTGGCTCTGTTCCAAGAAGGCTCTAAACTTTCATTAGAAAAATTAATGCATTTTTTTTTTTCCTCAGTAAACAGCCTACAGATGATCTGAGCAGGAATGTCCCTGACAGTAAGCTGTGCAAATAAAGAAAAAAAAATGTTCGTAGCTCAACGTTAAGGAGAACATGGATAAAATCCTGAAGACAAGACTTGCTATAGGCTTCCCAGGCACTAGCAGGGTGAGGTGTAACCTTTCTTCCCCCTGCCTGCCTTGTCCTGGAGCCGCTGGAGGCCACGTGCTGCCCTGCCCTGAGCGAATGCGGTGGAAGGGCCGGAGCTCCCTGCTCCCCGGCACGAGGGTTGGCCCTCAGCTCTCTTCCTACTCGAGCCTCTGCTTGCAGAGAGGATGCTGGAAACAGCAGCTGAACGTGCGGAGCAAACCCCTGTGTGAGTACACAGAGAAGCCCTAGGCAAGCGGGAGGCTGCCAAGGTTTCACTCGGAGGATGTTTGGGATTAAATTCCATTTTGGTAACCCAGGGTTGGCCACAGAGGGCCAGGCCAGGGAGCAGGGGCTGAGGGAGCAGGACAGGAGCTGGGAAAGCTCAGAGGGGGTGACAAGCGGTGACAGCCCATCCAGGACATCCTCTCCTCGGCAGCGTAACATTTCTGTCTCCTCTCATACAGGAGAAATGGGAGAAGCTCTAGGGACGAGGCTGAAGGCAGATTTGTGCCGTGGATTTCCGTGGATTCCCGCTTATCCCTGAAAGCTAGTCTGTGAGCTCAGGTGGTGGGTTGCTCCGTGAGACCGCAGTGCAAGGATGCAGAGCTGCCTTGTGCACGCGCCAGCTCCCGGGCTGCGCCGCGTTTGTTGGCTGTTTGCTTCCTCGGTTGTTTCAGCAGTTTTGTGTTGTGGTTGTGTTGTTTATCGAGAGCATCTCTGGAGAGCTTGTTTCATGTAATACCTTGGGTTCTTTTTTTGATGGTTGCACTGTCTCTGCCATAACATAATTTGGTGCCTGATGGCCCGTCACACCATCCACAGCAATCTAGAGCTGTGGCCTGTGAAGGGYCCTCTAGGACTCTAGAGGCCATAGGGCAAAATAGGCAAACTTCTGAGAGCCCGCACAGTCAGGCTGCAGCTGTCCCGTCAAGGAGGAGAGGCACATTGGGAGCCCCGCTCAAATGCCTCTACATAAACGCACGTAGCATGGGCAATAAACAAGAGGAGCTGGAGATGCATGTGCGGCTACAGGGCCAT